GATGTCCATGGGATATTGAATACACCTTAAAAAAATTAATTTTAAATGAACGGTACTATTAGCCACAATGGCGAGCACAATGGCATAATTTTTTAATAATTTGCTATATAATTACTATTATTTATGGACATTTGCATATCTATAAATTACATTTCATGGATATAAAATAGATATCCACCATGGACTGGACATTCAGTGGATATTGGGATGTTCAGTAGATATCCAAAGGATTTGGTGTGCTGTCTGGGTATTTCTTTTAGATCAGTCTCAATCAGATAATTCAAATACGTTGTGTTTGGCATGTATGTTCTTTTTATGATGCCCTATTAACTCTTTGTTGCATTTTAAATAAAAACATAATGATTATCTTGAGTTTTTTTTTATGAAGCAAACCTATAGTTGTGGATGCTTATTAAGTTTCTTTTACTTCAGAAAATTTACTAGAGAAAATGTTCTTTGACCATTTGCTGAAGAATGAGGCAAACTTAATAAATTAAGAACAAAATTTGTTAAGTTGACGAAAACAGTAGATTTCATGCCTAAAACAGGAGAACAGAGACAAAAACAGTGAATCTACTTAAAAGCAGTAAGTCTGGCAACACTGATCGTTCCCTCGAATTGTCGTCTGCGGTCGTCGCGTCGCCTGTCTCCTTGCTTTCCAAATGTGTGAAGCGTAACGTAAATGCACCTGTCTCCTTTGCTGTAGAGTCTGTTGTCGTCTGTCGCGCCTTCCGAAATGGTACCTTAAAACCCAAACCCAACGAAAAAAGTAGCAAATTTTTCGAGGCAAGTTTATTTCGGTTTTAAAAATGAACCAAGGCACGTATTGACATGAACCAAAAACCCAAATGTCGAGGAATCATGGTTTTAAAAGAAAAATGTTTTAAGAAAAAACGCTAGCGAAATTATCCCACAGGGTGTTTCAAAATTAGGGTAAAGAACAGCCCTTCGATTAACCCTGTATAATAGATCAAATATAAATTTTTACGAAAATACTGAATATACAAATCAAAATTGATAATATAATATATAGTGTGCTAAAAAATGTATCGAACTAAGATTAAAAAGAAAAAAATTATAACACTTTCAATTAGACCCAAATTTTTTGCGTTGCGTTTTTCTTGCATCTAAGTGTATATCATCTCAGACTTTACTTTTATGTAATATCTACGATTGGTCTTTAAAAAACAAATTACATTTCAATATTGACAAGTGCGCTTTTATGACCTATATAGTCGCCAAACTCAATCTAATTACTTTATCTACACGATGGGAAACGTAAATTTAGAAAGGGTACCAATTTTTTTTATTTTACAAGAAATGATCATTTTTAACAATTTTTATATAATAGTTATTTAGAAAGTTCTGTTAAGGTCAGTCACTATTAGTGCCACTCTTATTTTGACATATGAGCATGCGCATATTACTTAATTGTGAATGTTTAAGGACAGCAGATAGTGGCGACTTTATAGTTTTCGGGTGCGCTTCCCAACATCCGTATCAGTTCGAAGTTTTTTAATATTATGCTTATCTAAACCTTCTAAAATGGTGATTTCTAATGCCTTTTTCATATTATGTACTATTATAAACAACAAAAAAGATAAATCGTAATTTAAAATGAGGTTAGAAATATGTATAAGGACAAGGACTCTAATGTCAAAATTTCAGGTTTGCAATAAGTCTTATATTAGTATGGAATTTATTTGACCCTAATTATGTTGTCACTATTAGTGGCTGACGTTATGGAAATTTGTAATATCTCTCTAATAACCTCATCTAAGATGCAATTACAACTTATTATTGGAAATATTTTAGATTTTCAAATTTTCTTAATTATATTATAGTTTCCTGATAGTGGAAAACAGTAAAAAAATATTTTCCGAAAGCTTGGATCTTAAAAGAGTTCATGCGATACCTGGCAAATTTTTTTATTAATTTTTAATACCTAATTGTTATTAATTTTATTAATTATAAGAGGCTTGGTTGCGAGGGGATGTCCACAAGGAGGGGTGCTATCACCTCTACTGTGGAATATGGTCCTCGACACCCTCATCAGCCGCCTCAATAATGACAGTCACTACACAATCGCATATGCAGATGACCTGGTCATTCTGCAAACAGGGAATTTTGAGAACATACTCTGCGAAAGAATGAAAGTAGCTCTAAAAATTATAGAACAGTGGTACAAGGACCATTCACTGTCTATCAATCCTAAGAAGACAGAAATGGTCCTTTTCACAAGGAAAAGGATGAAAATGGAATTAAAACCTCCAGAACTCCTAAACACAAAACTAAACTTTGCGACAGAGGTGAAGTACCTAGGTCTCACCTTTGACAGCAAGTTAACATGGAACTCGCATTTAGAAAACAGAGTTAAAAGAGCATACATTGCTTATGAACAATGCCGCCGTACTGTGGGATACACCTGGGGTTTCTCCCCCAGAGTCGTCGCATGGACTTACACGGCTATCATAAGACCTATGCTAACATACGGTGCAGTTGTTTGGGTACCGAAAACCCAAAAATTACAGCTATCCGTAAAATAGAACAAATTCAAAGAACAGCATGTCTCAACATAACAGGAGCCATGAAAACAACACCGACTAGAGCGATGGAAGTCATTCTTAGTCTCACTCCCCTTGATATTTACATCAAGGAGGTTGCTCTGACGACAATGACACTCCTCCGCACGGTCGGAATAGAACCTGATGTAGGATCTGGTGAGGCGAGACGTCACTTTTGGCAGGAGGCGCTCGATACGCTCCCACTGCTTCAAGCGAACATGGACTCCATCTCACCGAGATATATCTTCCATAAGCCATATAAAGTTATGATAGAACAAATAGAAGAGCCAGAAGTGGCAGGTACGATTCATATCTACACCGACGGTTCTAAAACAAAACAAGGCTCAGGATGCGGAATATGCTCCAGATTCTTAAACCTAAACATAAAATGGGCTGTGAACAATAGTGCCAGTGTAGTTCAAACAGAGCTAACGGGGATTCTCATAGCAGCAAAACAAATAACCAGAAATAATATCACTGGAAGGAACATGCTCATCTATACAGATAGCAGACAAGCACTACTCACCCTGAACAGACCACGAATTTATTCAGGGTTAGTACTAGAATGTCATGCAGCTTTGGCCGAAGTGTCCATCAACAATGTGGTCACCTTAAGATGGATCAAAGGTCACGCCGCATCGAAAGGTAACTGTCTTGCCGATTCACTAGCCAAGAAAGCAGCCAACCAAATACTTTTTGGACCTGGCCCTTCTATTGGCCTGACAAAATCGGTAGTGACAGACCTAATTAAAGAACATTCCCTTGTGAAATTCAAGGAAAGATGGGATGAAACAAGAAACTGCAGAGTTGCCAGGGAGCTCTTAAGTTATCCTGACAACACTGCAGCAAACAAATACTTGACTATGACTAGACAGAATCTGCGTCTGGTCACAGGCATTCTGACTGGTCATTGCCAAGTACGGAAGCATCTCCATATCATGGGGCTGTCAGAATCCGCACTCTGCAGAGGGTGCGAACAAGAAGATGAGACCATCGAGCATATCCTTTACGATTGCCCGACGCTCTCATTTATTAGAAGATTTGTGTTCGGCGAGTATCGGCTAACACCGGCCGATATAAGAGAAGCACCTCTTGGCGACGTTGTCAACTACATTAAATCTGTAGGCTGGCTGACGAGCTAGGAGGTGCCTATCATCTTAGGAGGATGCACAATAGGCCTAAGTGCCGTGGGGTAACCCACTCTCCACACGTTACAGATTAATTCTTATTAATTTTTAATAATTAATTTTTATTTTTATTAATTTTTAATAATTGTTATTATTTTTATTAATTTTTAATAATTTTAAATAATAATTTTTATTTATTTTTATCTATTTTTAATTTTTATTAATTTATATTTATTTTTTTTGGTCTATTTATTTTAATTTTATTTTTATTTATTTAGTTTGACGATCCTCCCCTTTTCCCCCTCTTTAAAATGTGAAAATCCAAAAACCCTAAATGACGTCATTATTTACTAATAATAAGTAGCTACAATTTCTACCTTTAAAAAACCGAAAGTTTCATACAAACTTTCACCTCCCGTTTCCCCCCTTAATGTCTTTTTATTTATAATAAATAGTTACAATTCTAATTTTCAATTTTCTACTTTTAAAAAAAAGCGATACCCACATAAAAACTTTCCCCCTGTCCCCCTTTTCTCCCATTTTTTTCACTTCTCCCCTTAAAATATAAAAATCCAAAATCCCTGAAACACACCAGTATTTATTTGTGATTAGTAGCTATAATTCGAATTTTCAAAGTCCTACCTTTAAAAAAATCAGTACTACCATACAAACTTTTAACCCACGTTTCCCCCCTTCAAATGTGAAAATCCAAAATCCCTGAAACACGTCTTTATTTATTTATGCCCAGTAGCTGTATTTCAAATTTTCTTGTTTCATTACCACTATCCAAAAGATCGTGTCTGTTAAAAACAAAAACAAATCTATCCCACGGGAACCGTATATTTTTCCGGGATAAAAAGCAGTCTATGTGCTATTCCAGACTATAATCTATCTTTGTGCCAAATTTAATCCAGATCCGTTCTTGCGTGATTGAGCAACAAACATCCATCCATTCAAACTTTCGCATTTATATATATTAATAGGATAATTCCCTAATATTAACCTCTTTCAGTTTTATATAGAGTATGTTACGTTTCCAATAATGACTACAGGAGACCGGCATAGATAAACGATGCTATTGAATAGACAAAATACATGCTGTCCCACTACCAAAAGAGATGTAACCATGCTTCCAATCATGAATCGCAGACCACGTTACTGTCTTTATATCTCTCACGATCAAATATAATTAAGTGTCTCATCTTTATTTTGCTTGATGCGTTGGTTAACGTACTGTATACATAATTTGTGGCACTCGTTAAAATTAACAATTTAACTTTTTAGGGTTAAGATTAAAGCAAAATTCTTTGAAAATAATAGTTTTTTTATTTTATTACAGAAACCGAAAACAACTTATTTAGACATGTAATTATTATAGTGCTTAAATTATAGAAAAAAAGTAACATACATAACTACTCTTTACACAAATTATAATGTAACAAAAGTACTCAAAAAAAGAACAAAAATATGAACTCTTAGAGATACAAAAAAGTATCTGTAAAATTATAAAAATAGATATAGTTTACAAATCTCACTCACTTTCAGATATACGGCACGCTGTGTCTAGTGACAAAACAATTGAATTAAGCTTATCTTCTACCTTCTTCTGCTTCTTTCTTTTTTCTTTTTCCTTCTTTCTCTTGTTTTTGAAGTCTGGTTCCGTTTTTGAAAAGCACATATCAGCCTGTTCAGTTTCATCCAAAAATTTTCTTTTCTTCAAATTTACTTCCTTATCTTCAAAATCAGGCATGTTTTCATTATCTAGATTGGTTTTAAGATTTTGTAAGAAAATTCCAGTTGAAGTGAATTTTTTTGCTTCTAATTTCCTTTTTTTCTTCAATTTCTTTCTTTCTGCTTTGGAGAGATCGTTTATATTAAATTGGCCCACTTCAAAACTTCTATGATTGTCGGAATATTCATTGTTGTTATTTTCGATGTCTTGTTCTATGCCTGTAAAAGAAGTAATTTAGTTAGTAGCCAAAACAGTTCACAAAAAAAAAGATTAAAAAATTATGTTATTGAGGAATATATTTTCTATGTATATGGGTATTTGGGCAAAATTTGTGCCATTGATAGTTGGTTGGACTCGGATTCAATGAGACTAATTGTAAAATTTGATCTGTTTAAAATACAGGTTCCCGCCAAACGGAAATTTACAGTTCCATTCCTTTACGGAATTTTGGTTAATCCAAAAATTTTAAAGGTCCAAAAACGTAATGAAATGTAAATTTCATTTATTAAATAATTGTTTTTTATTTTAACAATTTAAGAATTGCAATGGTACTTTAAATTAAAGGCAGTGGTAGTAGTATTGTGGCAAAAGAATTTGAAAAGTTATGCAATAAAAATGACATCCATTTAAATTGCGAGAATCTAAAAATGTTAATCCTGACAAAAGTTTGTTTTTAAGCTCTCTGGGAAATCTATAGATATTAAATCAATTACATATTTGGGTATAACTCTGGATACAAAACTAACGTAGGGATGAATGCAATATAGTGTTGAGGCTGAGTACTTGTTCTATTTTGACAAATCTTAGAGATACATTTTCTTACCACGTCTTGCGAATGTTATACTTTGGACTGGTACAATCTAAGCCGTAGTATGGTTTGTTATGGGGTTCTTGCTCTTATGTAGACGGAGCATTATTTATCATGAACAAAAATTGTAAGACTGGAGCTCACTCGTAATTCAGCAGCTGTTAAAATTTATTTAAAAAATATAGTCCAAGCAGCGACCGTCGTAAAAGGGTGGTGAACCAAAATAAGTACAAAAATGGACTTAATTATTTTTTTGATTAGACAAATAATGAACCACCAGTCTGGCGATCTGTAACTTGTCCAATTGTTTTTTTTTTAATATTTTTTTTTTCTAATTTTTTTTTTAAATTGATGTTTAAGACATAAGTACGATGTTGTACTATTTGAAGTTTTTATCTCCCCCTCCCCATTTTCGGAGGAAGGGATGTTCGAATAAATTACCACTTTGCTGTCCAATTTTCAATGGAGGACCGAGAAGCAATTAAAGAGGTAACAATGATACAAAGTAACTTGCAGCAAATAAGGGTGGCTACGGCAACATTATGCCGCCGCCTTGATGAGCTGCAAGACACAATAGCACTCATCCAGGAATCCTGGATAATAAAAACCAAAATTTTAGGTCTTAAAAATCTAAATGGTTCAATTTTTAGCTTTCCCAGCAACAAAAAACCTAGGACAGCCATTTACATTCCTAGGAAATACAAGGCCCACTCAATGAAGCACCTTTCCACCTCCGATTTAACTGCGGTTAGGGTGGAATATGTCACCAAAAAGGAAAAGAAAACGTTGATCCTGGCATCTGCATACCTCTCCTCCGACGTAACCACGCCACTACTCAGTAAAGACCCAGTATAAAGAACAATACAGTAGCGACAGATCATTTTTTATGAGGGGTCCATATTTTTCTGCGCATGTCCGAAAATAAGCGACAAAAACGTCAACGTCAATAGTGTCAATGCGATGTAAATATGTCATTATTTTTGTTTGTTTGCAGTGCATATTTTGAGACATTTTTATTATTTTAGTTTTTCATTTGTGTGATATTTTTGAAATGGCTTCTGCACCTGATCAGAAAAGAAAGAGATGTGTCTATCGCCCTTGTCCATCTCAAACAGAGTAAACAGACAAAGGGACAAGTTATTTTGCATTTCCCATGGAGCCAGAAAGGTATGTCTTAAGAAAATACTTTCAATTTTTATATTTGAAAACCAAATATTTATTTGACAACCAAATATTTATTATTTAAATGTCTTGAAGACAATTTTTACAATTTCAACAAAAATAATGTAAAAAATATATAATTTCTGAACTACCCTCAATCTAAACATTTGTTATCAACTTTTTTATATTTTAGGGCCAACATGTGGTTAAGAGCTTGTAATAGGGAAGATTTGAGTAACATAGATGTGAACAGTCTTCATCGGAATTACAGGTTGTGTGAGAAACATTTTGAGAAGAATTGTTTTTCTAAAACGTTGAACCGTAAACGTTTATTGCCTAGTGCTGTTCCCACATTTTTTATCCATCTAGGTCATCAGCCAAATGTCTATCTTCTCCCTAGTACATCGACCAAGTGCTTTCTCTGTTGAGACTATCATTGAACATGAACGAGACATTTTTGAAAGCGTACCATGTGCAACCTTTGGACATTCTCAATCAAAAATCCTACCTCCAAATTATTATAATGAATTAGATGTTCTTTGATTCACTATGTCCATTGATTAAAAATGTTCTGATTGACTACATCTAATCAAAATATATATGTATTTCTTGTAAAGTAGCAAAAAGAAAACAAAAAAATGTATTTTGTGGTGTTATTATTTTAACTGTTTTTTAATTTTTGATTTGTTTCATTTATACAATATTTAAGCACTTAAACAATAATATATATAATCTTATAAACAGTTGTATGATATATACGTTAGGGAAATTAGGACAAGGATGATTAAATTCTATTTCTTTCATAATATCAAAAAAAGCTATGCGATATACCAGACATTACACAGGTATTGCTAAAAATAGATATAACATTTTTTTATAATTTAAATATATAGATAATAAACTTTTCATTTGGAGTTTTTAGGCCTCCATAAGTGCTTTATTTGCAATCATATGTTAAAATCTGTGAACTATCCAAATATTCACATTCTTTTGAAAATTTAATAAATGTATCACATCCATGTATGCCTAAAGCTTTTTTGATCAAATAGCCACAAACATATTTAAATGGATTTTGAACTATTATATCTTCTGTCCTGTAGCTGTAATTAGGAAGAAAAACAGCTTCTCGAGTGTTTTTATTTATTTCAGGATACAGAGACAATATTTTTTACATCTAATTGTAGCAAGTGCTTGTCCAGGTCTTCATTACAATTCATGGAATTGAAATGAAGATAATTTTGACAAAAAAGTTTTTTAAATGCCCTTTCGAATTGTACAGGTGTTGGATTAATTAAATTCCCACCCTGTTGCCTAATGGACCCAACACATTTTTCTAGACAGTCACTGTTGATTCTTCTAGCCATTAAATATTTAAATCCCGCAGCAGATAACCTTTCCCATACAAATTTTAAACCATAAAATTGTTAAATATAAACATCTAATTTTTATGATGTGACGTTAATAGTATTTAATTATATACATAGGTAATATAAGCAATTGGGCAGCATTGCGCTTAACGGGTGACTTATAACAGGCATTTGCTAAAACTCATCTGAAGTCAAAAATTTGTACGTAGGAACAAAAATTGAAATAAAATAATTCTTGTATTGTAAATTCATTAAAAACTTACTAATTTGTAATTGTGTGTTTTAATAAATATTATTGTTATATGTTGTTTCACTTCTAAAAAGATACCTACATAACCTCATTTTAAATAAAAAAATAAGGTGCTGAGTTAATTTATTAGTTCCAGGAAGAAACCAAAAAATGTTTCAACACATTTCATACAATGAATGGCATACAAAAGTAATTTATTTTAATCTAATGATAAAATTTTAAAATTGGCACATCTAGATTTTCACCGGAACTCATTTATTTAAGTTACACAATATTTTGATTAATTTATTTGCCTAGAATACATTAAAATGTTATATGTACATGTTTAAATTTTTTTCTAAGTGTACATCGCTAATTTGCAATTTTAGAGTTTACTTTTCTCCGTGTAGAAATAAGCGACAAAAACGTCAACTGTCATTGAAAATCTGACCACCCCGACATCAAAGAAGCCGACGCAATCTGTCGCTACTGTATTGTTCTTTATACTGGGGTAAAGAGATGGAACAGAAGTTTGAGCTGATAATAGGTTGCGACTCAAAGCTCATCGCTTCAGTTGGGGCAGTAAGGATAACAACGCTTTGTATTTTAACTAAAGGTACTACACCAACATTTTTAAACACTAATAGATATCACTTCATCCACAGCTGGTATAAATCAATTTTAACTGGCAAGTGTCTGATAAAATTTCGATGACAGACCACCGCTGGTTAACATTCAAAATAAACTTGATGTTGCCGACCTTCACGTTATCTGGGAACCCTAGGAAGACGGACAGGGCAACCTATGCCCACCTTCTCTAAGAGGCTCTGAGAGAGGTGGAGGCCAAAACACCAAATAATAACAATGCTTGGGAGAAGTACTCGAACACTATCCAAAGCAGAAAAAACAATGTCTATAAGAAATTCTGTCCCCTAAGGCTGGTCCAACACGATCAGACGACTTTTAACCTAAACATAAAATGGGCTGTGAGCAATAGTGCCAGTGTACTTAAAACAGAGCTAACGGGGATTCTCATAGCAGTAAAATAAATAACCAGATACAATATTACTGGAAGGAACATGCTCATCTATACGGATAGCAGACAAGCACTACTCACCCTGAACAGACCACGAATTTACTCAGTTAGTACTAGAATGCCACGAAGCTTTGGCCGAAGTATCCATAAACAATATGGTCACCTTAAGAAGGATCAAAATTCACGCCACATCGAAAGGTAACCGTCTTGCTGATTCACTAGCCAAGAAAGCATCCAACCAAATACTTTTTGGACCTTCTATTGGCCTGACAAAATCGGTAGTGACAGACCTAATTAAAGAACATTCCCTTGTGAAATTCAAGGAAAGATGGGATGAAACAAGAAACTGCAGAGTTGCCAGGGAGCTCTTAAGTTATCCTGACAACACAGCAGCAAACAAATAGTTGACTATAACTAGACATAATCTGCGCCTGTTAACAGGCACTCTGACTGGTCATTGCCAAGTACGGAAGCATCTCTATATCATGGGGCAGTCAGAATCAATAATTTGCAGGCGGTGCGAACAAACAGATGAGACCATCGTGCATATTTTTTACGATTGCCCGACGCTCTCATCAGAAGATTTGTTCAGCGAGAATTGGCTAACACCGACCGAT